CTCCACTTCTTCCTGACATTGTCGTGCCTGTGCTCCTTTTGTCGATCAGGGGAGAGAAACGAAACCACCATAGTCTGCTCCTCCCCTTCCCCCTTCCCCCCCCTCCTCTCTCTCTCTCTCTCTCTCTCTCTCTCTCTCTCACACACACACACACACACACACATACACACACATTAAAAAAAAAAAGAAATGAAAACGGACAAAATGATCCACCTATGAAACCCCCTTCGCCCCTCGACTTCCCCCTTACCCTCCCCACATGGCGCAACTTGTGTTCCTTCACCCACTCCGTTCCTCAACTGGTGCAATCATTCTCCTTTCCCCTGTCTCAATATTTTATTGTCGTTATTATCTTACCTTGTCCTTGTAAATCATGCTCATGCTCCTTATCTTCCTCGTCGTTTTAATCAACCAGCGTGGTCATGGAGGGGTGCTCTCTCTCTCTCGCGCGCACGTGGGTACGAGCGAGCGAGTGCGCACACGCGCGCTGTCGCACTTTTTCCCAGTCGGACCTCTCTAGGCGACTAGAAAGCCAACAGGCTGTCACGCAGGATTTTGAATGCCTTGTTTGCAATAAATAAAATAAATTTATTAAAGCAAATCCCTTCCTGCTGTGTGCATCCGACTTCGAGCGAGACCCTTCAATTGCAGTCTTCGCCGGTCCCCGGTCCTAGGAATCTTTTATTTTGATTCGGAACATCAAAGAATCGTGCAAATAATAATCATAAAATTATGGTATGTCATGCATGCATCAATTTTGCCAGTTTACTGATTTTGAGAACTGTGACAGAATCATCAGAGAAATGCAGTCATCAACAATGACAATGCAAAAGCAAGACTGACTGACTCAAGCAAAAACAAGGTCAGGTGAGGGAAGAATGAGAACTCGTAATAGTCTCAGCAAGTACACATGTAAGGAGCATGGTCAGCACCAGTCAAGAGTCCTCACTCATCCCTCTAAATTTCTCACTTGATCTCTCATTCCGCTGTGCTTTTCTTGTGCCTCGAATCATGTCCCCGTACTTTTTGAGTCCGTGGCCTTCGTATGTAGAGCCACCTGAAACCTGCTAGTTTTGAGCACTTCCAACCAAGTCCCATAATATGGAAGTCAACCATAGCACAAAACTCCTCCCATAGAGTAGGGAGATATGGCTGAGAAAAGATCCCTCTTCAAAGATGTGGGAACTCAGAAGGCTCAATCTCTACTTCGTAATCGATCACTGCAGGGAAGATATACCTCTTGGCTAGGTCTACCAAGTCGCCCCAGCAATAGCCATCTGTGAGAATGAAAGGTACTGGAGGTTTGGGATAATTTGTGTAGAGCTTGGGTCCGAAGCTGCGAATCAGCTTTGTACCACTCTCATCCAGCTCTCTTTCTCTCTCCTCGAGGTATATGGCTCCTGCAATTCAGACTGAATCGAAGAGCTCGTAACTTTCTTTCCCTCTTTTTTATGTAGGATATCGGATCATAGATAGTATCTCCCCCAAAACTGGTAAGGACAACGAAGATTGACAGATCTCCTTGCCTGAAGCCAATGGCACTCACATATTGGTATTGGAAAGAATCCTTGGAAGAGATCCTGTTGAGACTAGTAAGGACAGTCTCGGGAACTGAGAATGATTGTACCGTACTCATGTGCAGTTGTTGAGTGTTGAAGCTGACTCTCGAATCTTTGGATAAACGTATCTCTGGTACAGATAAAATGATGAGGGGTTGACTAGGTGCCGATTGAATGACGATCGAGTACTGCTATTTGATGTTGCTTGAGGTCTGTAGAAGTAGTAAGTCACTATACAATGGTCACTTATGACTGGATGCAACTGTTGTTTGCTGGTTAGTGTCGGGCATCAGAGATTCTGATAGAATACTGATAGAACACTGATTATATATTGATTGATCTTTGATTAAAACAGATTGAATAGTGATGGAATTGTGATCGAACACTGACTGTATACTGATTGATCGCCACCCACTTGGTAGCGGCACGAAATACTGCTCACTTGACAACAGCGTTGGGTACTGTTCACTGACAACTGCGTTGAGCACCACTCACTGATAACATGAGTCACTGATAACATGAGTGAGCACCAAGAGTTGTGGGTTGCTTGCTGATTGGATGCGCTGGCGAAGTCCTTGAGGTGAGGAATCTGAGCTCTCTCACGCTCTCTTCGACTGTGGCATGGTCTATTCGATCGCCTCAATCAACGAGTAGGTGTTGTGAAGCTTTCCATATGATCCATAAATGTAGAAGGTATACTCAACAATCTTTTGTTCTCCAGCTAGTTCTAGTGCTTGCTGCATCATATGTTTGAGGTGGGAATGAGCACCCTGGATGACGCTCTCCTCCCAGCCTTCTGCCCTATCCCGGTGTATCACACACAGCTTACTCCCAGTGTGCTCTCACTTCCCTCCTCTCTGTAAAGGCCCACTGCATCGTGATAGACTGAACTATGATCATATAAATGAATGGCAACCACCACGACTTGTATTGAACCCTGGCTTATCTAACCTTTAAACGATGGAAGTGTTGCTGTTTACCCCAAGGGTATGAGAACAAAACAAATGAGGATCATGCAACAATGGATTCCGATGGCTGACTTTAGGTGTGGTGATGTGAAACTATTTCCTTAGAAGTCACAACAGGGAACTAGCATGACTACAAGGATACTGAGGCCTTCGAGACACTGTCAAGGGAGGGTTTGCACGAACTAGTATTGACGATGCAGCGAGTTGCCCTTGACGGGTTTTCCCTTATACACATCACAAGATGCTACTGTAGACAGGGTCCCTTAGCCGAATGACAATAGTCACCGCTGTGGTTGTAACGTGAGTGGCCTCTGCAGCACAGAGCGCGGTCAGCGTCGATCCCCGCATAGGAAAGTAAAGCGCCTTTTCAGGGTAAACCTGGTAGGTTGCATGACAGGAAATTAATTAAACAGGACGAAGCAATTAATCGTGAGATGAATAAGTCAAGGACTATCTTTAGTCCCAGCTCCCACGAATGGGGGACCTCACGAGAGCAGCTCTCAGTCACTAAACCAATGTGGTCTTGTTCACCCAGATATCACACTTTGTATAGTTTTTGGGTTCCCTCTGTTTTCCTGCTACTTGTACTTATTTCTTATTCAGGTGCCCTCTTTACGACGAACTCGTCTCAGAGCAACAGACAATCCATTAGTAACCATGTCTCAGAGCAACAGATAATCCATTAGTAACCATCAAGCAGGTACTTAACCAGAAAATAAGCAACCCTTCTAAGCACAGACTTTCTCTTGCTCATCACTTGCAGATGGCCAGACGAGATCGGTTACCCTATCTTAAGGTAAAACCCAGGATTACACAGTTTAGCCACTCTTACTTAGGTAGCAGGAGCTTCAACGGGGCTATCTTGCAATCATGGCAAGCCCTTGAGTCTGCCAACCCAATTTAAGTGAGTCGTGTTTGACTTCATAATTTTAGTAACCCTTGCAATGAGAGGTTCAAGGAAGCAAAAGAGCTATGACGGCCTTAAGCATGGTTAGAGGAAGTGGGGAGTTGTAAAAAAAGGAAGGACCAAGAAACGCAAAAGGGTGAAGGGGTGCGGAAAAGCTTTCAGGCGAGTTGATTAAAGCCTTATCTGTAAATAACCTCCCCCTTCCAATCAAAACGCAGTCTCATTTATCACTTCGACCCAAACACTCCGTTTGCTTTCAGAACTTGGTTCACTGTCTCCATAATACCGCTCACTGATGAGCCTGCTTATACCACGAATGTAGATGGTCGTTCACGTGACAATGGCCAGATCACTCCTTAATTCTTCCCCGAAAAGCCAGTGTGAGTAAATTCTGATTTCCTCTCGATCACACTCCCGAAGAACCAACTCGGTAAGGTTAGGGTCACTATGAGTTGATGGCTCCGAAAAATTGATGTAACGACAAGCAACCACGACTCGTATCTTGATTAACTACTACGGGCGCCCCTCGGTCAGCAACACAATCGGCCTCGAATCAACACTCAGGCACAGTGACTTCATGAGTTTCCAAGAACGTCTTAACCAGCAAGGAAAACTAACCAGAATGAGGAATTACAATACTGACGAGAGCATGCCAAGTTCAATCCGTTAGGAGCAGGTGACTTGAAGCAGAAGCGCTCGCCGATGAAGGGCCAGTGTGAACCGACACCTGTAACAGTGAGCTCGAAGGTCGTGTCATCGATCTCTCCCTTTCAACCACCCGGGCTTCTTTGTCTGCTCACCAGTACTTACACACCCTCAGCACGTTCGCACCGCTGATCCAACTCTACCCCCCCCCTTGACTGCGCCTCCTTCATCCATGTACCCCTTCAGATACAGCTCCAAGTATCTTTATGAAATGTGCTCACTCTCTATACCAGCTACAATTCTCATTGCCAAGCGACAATCACAAAGAAGATCTCTCCCAACTGACGTAGCACGTCACTCGTCACCAATCGATGATTGACGTCAACAATCCAGCTTAGCTCTCAAGCGGACAACAGGAACCGCGCACTTAGTCTCGTAACTTAGGAGGCAAAAGCAGTAAGTCACTGGTGTAAACTGAAGGCAACAACAGCCCGATGGCTAGTCGTAGCACAGCAACAGACCTCGAGCCAAGGATACAACTTCCTCTCACCAAACACTAAGCACTACCCGTGGTCACTTAGCGCTCACCCCAGCTCGACTTCGACTTCGCTGTTACTGCGAGCTAGGTTCATCCGCTGGAAATAGCGGCCATGGCAACGTCCTCAACCAGTGGGTGACACTTGTATCCCGACGCCCGAACTATCAAGAAGCTCATTATGCTTTGATCAAGCTTGGATCTAGCCCGTCCAGAACTGTTCGCGTCAGCAGCGACCCACACAAGAATGACGCCCCTCGAGAAAAAGAGAAAAGGCAACCCTCATCACCATTTCCCTTCCCAATCCTTGATTACCCTCCCTTGACATGAAGCGTGCGGGGTACACTGAAGCTAGAAGCGCAACGCGCACGAAGTTGACATCAACGATAAATTCATTCTGTGCGTTACTCGCATAGGTCTGTCCTCTCTCTTACTTCACATCTAAATTTTTCTTCCTTCTTGCGAGCATTCTCACTAACTGCTCTCACATGCCCCACTCTCAGTCCACGGTCTCACAAGATTCCTGCTGACAAGCACGAGATCAACTGAAGTGGAGATGAGAAAAACAGCAAAGGCAATGACATGTTCTCGTATTTACTCTGTCGGGACAAAGCATGCCCTTAATGTCGAGAATAATGGGGGACGAATATCTCTCCCAAAATGGCAGCCTAAGCCGCGCGAGGATGACTGTCTTGTTGCTTCGACGGAGGCGAAGGTGACGTCAACCACACTACGCGCGCTGACTTCCTTCTCGCTTTCTCCCTTCTCTTGCCCCTCTGCCCACTCACTCTCCATAGTTGACTGCTCGCGTCTTGTCCACTTCAATCTCTACGCTGGGCCAAACTGGCCTCCGGGCCATCCTCCACGGATTCGGCTGGTGGGTGCTCTCTCCACCACTGCTCCAGCCCGTGCCACGACCGAGTCTGCGCATCTCTAGCCTCGGACTCTGCATCCGCGTCTCGATCCACCTCCTAGTGTTCCCTATTGGTCGTGCTCGTGGAGGTCTCTTCTTCGTGGTAAGTAACCGTTACCTTTAACCCTGCAGTCACCCATCCCTTATGAACCTTCGCTCGGCTCGGTCACAAGCCTCCGTGATTACACCGTGAATCTTCCTGTCCTCTCTCATATCCTGCTCCTTTCCGCCGTAGACGTTCATCCTCAGCCTAGCCACTTCGTCGCTCTTGTTGTAGCTTAAGCAAGCATCCACAGTAGCCCCTTCTTCGCGCATAGGCTCCCAACTCCAATCGAACCTCAAGTGGTCTGGCCTATAGCCAAAAAGGCCATTGCTACGCGCCATACCCACGCTCCGTTCAACAGGCCCTGCTCTCGGCCAAGCCGCTTGCCTCGAATAGCTGCTCAACGCTCTACGAGCACCGTCAGCGCCAAACAGCACTCGACCCACGCTGGTGACTCCGCGATATAGGTAAGGTACCGCCGTGCAGCTAGCCACAACCAGCAGTTCGCCCCCCACGCAATAAAGAGCATCTCTTACACCAGCCAATAAATCAATAGTCAAGTGGCTATCTGCCACTACTTGTAGGCTTTCCATGAGGTCGTAGCCTCTGCGTACTAACTGAGAGGTGACTGAGACCTCCTACTACTAACCAAGTGACTCGCCGGCCTGCACCTACCGCCTATTCAGCCTAACCTGAGGGGACTGGCCTGGCGCTCAGTGATCCCATAACGGGATCCCGACCAAGCCCTGCCTTTCCTTATAGGGAACCGTCGAGCTACTACTAGCGGGTACCCGTGTCCGATGGCAAGGAGGGGGTTTACGACCCTCCACGGAGGGTGATAGGCCTCCTACCAATGCGGTCGTGGGTTGCCCCTCTTTTGGGATCCCATCGTGCAGCACTTCGCAGGACAAATTATTCAGGACGGGGTAACTCAGAGGCCTGACCGGCCTGGGCCTTTAGATGGCGGTCACGGTTCAAAAACGAATCGTTGGCCTCTCCAGCGAAGGGAAGGACCGAGAGAAAAAGCCGCGTTTGGAAAATCAGTAAAAATTAATAATAGCAATAATAATAATAGTAAAAGAAAGGAACAAAACTATATAGTGGCCAGATATTGATAGATTATCCCAGATTAAAGCAAGGGCCACGATCTCAGTGCAGTTAAGACGCTTAGCTTTATTTTCCGCTCTCACACATTTTGCTTTCTTTTATTTTTATCGTTTAGCTTTTCTTTCGACAGTGACCTATCTCGTGCACCTAACTCATAACCTGGCCAACGGCACTCGGCACACAGCAGAAAAGACCGCGCCAGTCCCTGGGCGAAACCGGCAGCTACCACAGCTGCAGGCCGGTAGTGCTCTGCTGTACAGCAGGGCGCCGAGCCTGCGTGGACCAATGGAAGTCCAACGGCGCACCCTTTGACCGGGGCAAACGCCAATCGAACCGGTCCACGTCAAGGTACACCTCAAGTACCAGGCCTGCAGGTGTTCAGATAATGCCTAACGAGCAGCGGAGATCAGGACAGGGAACTGGTACCGGGCAGGAGTCTGCCACACAAAGGAGGGTCGGGACACCGCGCCCTCCAACAGCGCACGCGTTCTTGCATGCCTATGTTGTCATGTTCGCTATCCACAAACTCCATAAAAGGGAGCATGACTATGCCAGACTGTTTCATCAGATTTTCACCGACTCATCAGGAGGTTGAACCCCAACAGTCTACTCGAGATGCATTGGTGTGCGTGTGTGTGATGTCACGTTCAAGCACCAAGCCCGTAGCAACCAGCACGTGACACCGAGCACCAAGCACATAGCACCAAGCATGGAGCACGTAGCCCCGACCACCAAGCACCAACCACGCTGCACACCGACCACCAAGCACCGACCACGACACGATGCACCAAAGCAAAAGAGAGAGTAGGCAGGAGCATGCACGGGAGTAGGCGAGTCGAGCAGCCGTGGGTGTAGGCGCGTCAAGTAGGCTCAGGTGTAGGAGCGTCGAGATACCCCATGCGACGAGCAGGTGAGGGGATAGAGCGGTCGCCCACAAAAAGAGTGAAAATGTGGGCCGCTTGGGCGTTTTGAGGGCTGGACGGTCCTACCCGACGTCCAAAGATTGCACGGTGATCCAGGCCGTTCCCCACCCGACGACTCCAATTGCCCTGTCGGGCCAGTAGGACCGCGAACGACCTGGATCGCCGCGCGATCATAAAATCTTAAGATCGTGGAGCAATCCAGGCTGTCGGGCCGGTAGGCCGCAACCGGCCCGGATGCCAAAATTCTCACATTCGCGATTTTAATAAGTGTAGGGATACGTTTAGTTGAGCTTGAGGACCTGTCAGCCTTGCAATGTCCAATTGAGCTTGAGGATCTGTCAGGCTTGTAATGGCATAGATCCAAATACTACAACACACGAGTGTTGCACCGCGTAAGAGTAAGTGCCACGTCACCAAAAACCCCTATGTAAACAGCGTATGGAATTTTTTCAGTTTCTTTTTGCCTTCAATTTAGCAAGGAATTTTGAAATGACTCTCCGCCAAATGTTAGGGCATACTCACACCAGGCACTCAAAACCGCAGAGTCACAAAATCAGCGGCCAGACCAAGTCCTTCTAAAAGGAAGGACTCAATCTGGCCGCTCATTTCGCGAGGCTGCCATTTTGAGGGCCTAATGTGAGTATACTCTTAGTTTGTATTGCAATGCCGCATAACATACCTTTTGTTCAAACTTCTTTAAAATTTCCATTCTTTTTTATGTACCCCGTAATCAGTGAGTGCATGGCCATGGACGAGGCTGTACACGTTCGCACGCATACGCCTGTACGCAAGACTCCCGTACGAGTACAACGTGCGTATACACAGCTCTCTAAACAACTAACCTGAGGCAACTACCGTTGGTACTTGCTATCATCCTGGCAATCAGGTGATTGCATTGTAGACAGATTAGCTACAAATTTCAATCGAAAAAGCATTGTTGAGCAGTGCCTTCAACCACCACCATCACGGGCAGAAAAGCTAACTGGGCACAAGCAGGCCTCATTTTTGAAGAAAACTGTTGCACGGAATTTCACGCCACGTGCCACCCTCACGGGTAGAAAAGCTAACTAGGCTCAAGCAGGCCTCATTTTTCAAGAAAACTGTTGCTTGGAATTTCACGCCATGTGCTTGGGCCGTTCTTCTTTATGTTGAAGCCCCACAAGAAAAGAAAGAAACGAGAAAAACAAAAACAACCACAAATGACAGAAAACAAAACAAACCTCCACTGCCGGCCATGCCACTGGTGGGCGGCACAGGACCTGCCTGGTACTGCCAGCCATGCAACTGGGCTGGCGCAGGGTTTTCGAGGCCAATTTCGGCCTGGGAACCCGAAGCCCCCCTCCAAGAAGCAGTAGAAACGGGAGGGGGAATTGGGGGCCTGAATTTTTTTTTCCAAAGTCTTGCTACTCAAGGCCATCGATCAGGGAGATCAATGGCCAGCTTTAAGGGGAAGTGGACAACGGCCTGGGGGAACAACACAACCATGGCCGCTCCTCCCCCTGGTTGCACCCACCCACCCAACCCACGCCTCGTCGCCCTCGCTGTCCGTTGCCATGGAGCAGCAGGTCGTCATCACCATTTGCCACCGTGCATCTGCACCACCCCATCGCCCATTCTAGGAGGTAGGTCCGTCCTCTTCCTACTTTTCCTCTTCGTCCTCCTCCTCGTCTTCCTCCTCTTCCTCAGTTTGGTCCTCGTCCTCTTCCTTCTCCTCTCCTTCTTCCTCCTCTCCTCCTCACCTCAATTTCATTGCCCTAGCGCATGCCGCTTGGCACCCGGCCTTTTTTTTAGTCTACTAACTTCCTACCCTAGGTGCCACAAGGGTTGCAAACATGTCATGGAGTGTGATGATGTCATCTCAGTCATCTTACCTTAATCAAGTGTAAGTGAGATGATCGATGGAAGTCTTTGAGATT